ACATATCTTGTAAGAATGCTTTAATACTGTTCCATTAATCCATTTTTGTATGTTTGAAACATTAATACAACCATATGCATACAGCAGTAGTACAAGTGTATGATTAAGGTACGCATACGCTCTGAGAAACCACCCGTGTTAAATGGAAATGAACGTTCATTTATAACTACTAGCATGTATACACAGCAGCAAGCTCATGCCATCAACAGCGATGTTGTATGCATAAGATTTCTACTGGGTAGAACTGATTTTGAATTATTTTCTTAATAAATCTTTACAAGCTCTGTGTTTTGCAGCAGCTGCTTCAAAAGATATTTATTCTTTAGACGCAGATGACTTAAATATGATGCATACCAAGCGTACGCGCATTTTTTTTTTTGGATTCTTGGACTAAGGATCCCGTGTTCAAAGGCTGGTTGTGTAAACACTTGAGGTTTCGAGGCTTATTGTAATGTTTGCAATTGCACATTAAAAGCCAAATCAGGAAGAGCTGATCTCTTGAAACACGCACGCTCGCAAAAGCATCAATAAGTCAGAAAAGAGTAGGCGACTTTTTTAAGACTTCATTGAAAATGTAATGAACGCAAAAAAGGCTGAAATATTGCTATGCTCCTTCTTAGCAGAACGTAATTTAGCATTTTCGACAACCACCCCCTTACCAAATGTCTACAATAAAAAAAAAATATATATTAAAAATCAACGCGATTATTTAGCTTCTTTAAAAATGCACTTTATTGACCTGAAATTTAATGGGCTATCAAACTGCACACTCAAAAAAATCTAAATAAAAAGTTTAAAATCTAGCTGAAGCTTTGCAGATTTTTTATAAGTTTTGCACAAAGTTTGAAATGTGGAGCTTGGCTTTTATGGAAAGATAATAAACAAAAGAGAAATAGCCAAAATCGATCAAAATGGTGATGACTTAATCAGCTGATGACAAGTGGATGTATAAAATGATTTTTATATTAACGATCTCAAACCAGTTTACAATGAATTTTAAATGTGCTCTGTCAAAATGACATTTTAACCCTTCGATTTGTGAGAAGGTCCCTAGGGACCTTTTCGTATTTCATGTGCCTATATCTTTTTGTTCAATGCATTTTTGAAAAGAATTTCTACATGTATCCCAAGAATAAATTAAGCTGAATCGTTTAAAATAAGTTTCGAAGGGATACGGGATCACGTTCGAGTGTTATTGAGATTTCAACATATATAGTACGGGGATTAGTGACAAGGTCCCTAGGGACCTTGTACAATTTTAGAAGAAATAACAAGTTACTTGCATTTTTGAAAATAATTTATACATGTATTCCAAGAATAAATTAAGCTGAATCGTTTAAAATAAGTTTCGAAGGGATACGGGATCACGTTCGAGTGTTATTGAGATTTCAACATATATAGTACGGGGATTAGTGACAAGGTCCCTAGGGACCTTGTACAATTTTAGAAGAAATAACAAGTTACTTGTCTTCATGTTTTGATTTTTTTTTCACTTGTTCTTCAAATTATTTCATTCCTAATAACGGGTGATTTTTTTGAGGTTAGGATTTTCATGCATTAGTATTTGACAGATCACGTGGGATTTCAGACATGGTGTCAAAGAGAAAGAATATGCAGGACGTTAATTTAATCAAAAGACAACATAAATACCAAAGAAGTTGCACATGTACAGTCGAAACATCGAGCAACTCTTTGTAGGTCCCTAAGGACCTTCTCACGAATCTAACGTCATCGGCACTGTCACTCATCGGAGGGTTAATATACCTTACGTACATATGTACCTTTGTATATAATAAAAGTTTAATAAGAACAATTTTTTGAACGTTCATTTGAATAAGACGTTTTTGGGTAGGAACCCTGTAGGGAGTGACGTTAGCTTATACCTAACTTTAGTCTGTTTACGCGAACACTAGTGCTAACTATTAACTGTGTATTTTGTTCGAAAAAAGCTAACTANATAGAAACTTGTAAAGAAAACCAACTCCCGATTGCGTCTGCATGACTCCTGCACGACTTTACAATTCACTTTAAGTTGGTTTTGTCATAGCTATTTAAAAGTGAGGTATTAATCGAAATCTCGCCAAAAAGCTAACTATAAGTTGGTTAGTTTTAACAATTGATAATTTTTCACTGCAGGGAAATGACGTTTGTTCACACCAAGAGGGACGTTTTCTCATGCCTAAGACCTGGCAACACTGGTTGTTCTTATCCTTCATAAAGACGCATGCGCATCTGCGCTCTCTCTCTCTGTTGCGCTCTCTGGCGCCAACGGAACTTGTATCTTCGTCAGGTGTATTTTTCCGCCCTGAATGAGCGTATGTGTGCAAACTCACAACGTACATAGCAAAACAAAATTAGCAGCAGCAGCGTGAAATACACTTGCATTGAGGTAGATTGCAAACGCACAAAACAATAGTAAAATTTTAGGCGCAGTAGCTGAAAAAGTGAAAAAATACGCTTTGGAAACAAATTTTAAGGACTTTTTGAGTAGCAATTTTACATCTTGAATAACTACATGCATATGGACTATGGATCACAAAAATCATTAATGTCTGTGAAGTATTCTGGAGATAAGAGGAAATTTTCACCATAAAGCAAATTGCAAGCGTGCTTACCATCTACATATTCTATTCTAGTCCCTGTAGTGAGCTGTAAAAGATTTTCATCAAATCTGGGTTTGCTGTTACGCGAATGCTGCTTAACTACAAACGTATTGTAATTATGCAATTCCATTATTCAATTGCCACTTTTTTGGCAGTGTTTTATTTACTTTTATTTGCTCATTTAATGTTACCTACAACTTTCAAGGTTAACGCATTCGATTACAAACACAAAAATGTTGGCGGCCAGCATCATACATAGTTGTAGCACATACCCCTTGATGAATGCATTTTGGGGCATATTTTTTTTACTTAAAACATTTATTTTTATTTCCTTTTTGGTTATTGTTGTTTCTGTTCGAAAATACATCATTTCATTTTTACTTATTTCTTCTTCTTTACTTTTCTTTTCATTTTGCATACTAAATTTATCATTCATTAATTGTGTCTCCTTTTTCTTCCCATTTCTAATCCACAGCAGACTGGCAATAGTGCGCCTCCAGTGCCGCCACAACGACACTCCTCTATACGCGCCAACACACCTGTAACACCGCCAACGGCAAGCAACAATAACATGCCCATGTTCGGCAACAATGCAGGCAATTTGGCGCACGCTAATTCAGTCAGCCGTTTGGTTACCGATTTGGAATCGAGATTTGGCAAACGCTTTCATAATGTTACCGAATTCCCGAAACCGCCACCATTCCTAAATATCCCAAAAGTGTATTCGAGCCGAGCGGCCAAAGCGAATGGTATGTAAATAAATAAGTTGGCGAAAAAGAAGAAGATGAAGAAGAATAGCTGAGAAAGAGAGCAATCGTAAATGCAAATGAATGCAAAACAAATGGTCCAGCTGACTGGTTGACTGTGGCACAGGCAGCGGCTAGGCAAGCAAGCAGCCAGTCAGCAGGCCAGGTCAAAGCGTTGACCATGAAATTAATTGTAAAATTGTTGTAAAATAAGCGCAAAAGCGTACAAAAGTAAATTGCAATATTGTGAATGCATACGTCGTAGTAATGTAGAGCGTACAATTGTGTGTCCATCTCCAGCAGTGTCCTTTCCTCACCCACACAGCACTTAAACTCCGAACAGATTGTTTTTTTGTTTTTGTTTTTACAATATAATATACAATTTAAGTTACTTATGGAATGCGTATGCGAATGCTGTGTATGGAATGCGGTTAAAGATTAATTATTTTCTTTATTTCTAATACATAATTATTTTTTCAAAGTTCAACTTTGTATGTAAAACAAAAAAAAGCATTTTGTATGATTTTAACAACTAATTTACACTTAACTACTTTTTATTGAAATGAAATATATACAAGTATTTTAAAAATTATGCATTTGAATTGGTTGGTAGGTTATGGTAAAATGCCAATATTGACGGCGAAGCATGGTACTCCTCACAGTTGCACTGAACTGTAACTAATTGGAATAATAGAAATGAATGTTATCAACATGCTATAAATTGTTCAACTTTAATTATTGATATTGAAATTTTGTACACAATTTTATTCGAGTACGAGGAGTGCCATATGTCGGCCGCTGTTTTTTTTTGGTGCCGTTATTACAACCTGATTTTTACTTGCAGAATTATAAACATTTTTGGCGTAGGTAAATTGAGAATTATAGCTGTAAATTTGTTCAATAGAATGTAGTAGATTTTTGAATGAAAATATAAAGAAAAAAAAGAAAATAAACGAAAGTAAAATTGTATTGGTATTGCCACTAGTTTTGAAAATACACTTAAAAATAGTAAATGAGGCAAAACTTTGAAAAATGTTATGAGCGTATTTTTCGGACAAATACATTGATGTGCTTTTAGTAGCGTCAAGCGCCATTTGAAATTAAGATTGAAGCCAGTTTTTTCACTTTGGTATATAGTGCACTTAACGTATTCAAGGTCATAAAAATACGTTTTTTTTGTAAAAACATAAAATTTTGTTTTACAAAAATATTTTTTTGTCCACCAAAAATTAATAAGAAAAACAGCTAAATCATTACAAAACGCCTAAAAATACACACAATTTTCTTATGAGTAGAGTAATTCTTTGCCTAGTCGAGATACCTTGGTCTGCAATGGGTTAAACAAAAAGTAAAAATCGAGGTTTAACCACCTTCTTTATGTAGGCGGATTTTAATTAAAAAAAAACACCTAAGAATACATACCACATAACCATAATAAAAATGTATGAACTTGTAATACATTTTGCTTATAGTTAAATGGTATATATTTTTAGGCGTATTTTTTATAAAAATCCGCAGTGAAGACGAGTCAAATTTTCGCAATGATTGAAAATTTCAGTAATATAATTGCTGCATAATTTCAGGCACTGCTTATGGAGCCCAAAATGTATGAAAACGAAATTTTAGTATTATCCACATTAAAATCTACAGCTGTTGACTCGAGTGCTAATCAGAATTTTACGCTTAAAACATTTTTCAATGCATCGCCTCAAACAAGCGCAAAAAAATAAAAAAGAGAGCGCAAGTCAGTTGTAATACTTTCAATTTGCTTAGTTAGTACAGCATAGTATTTGAATTGTATTGTGTATTTTTTTTTATATGAAGTCTATAGCCTCTTTGAATTGCAAATAGTCAGTGAATTAGGAAATTTAAGAAATGGAGTGATTACTAAATTTATTGAAATATGTAATTTATAGTAACAAATTCTTACTAAAAAAACGTTGTCGGGTAGAAGAAGCTTTTGTGAGTGTGAGCCAAAAATTATGTATATAAAAAATGAATAAAAATAAAAAGGCGTAAGCGCCGTGAAATATGCCACAAAGAAGCGATAAATACGAGAGGTTTTTATTTAACGAAACTAAGTACATAAACTCTGTAATTTGGATGTAGAAATCAACGTTGTTTGCATGCAGCTACAAATAATATTTAATTTTTTACACATATATAGAAAACTTTTATTTGCACTCTGTTTGCATTCGTTTAAGGTGTTTTTTGAACTAAAAACTTTGCAGCAAACTGCCTTTAAACAAAATCATTCGCTCCACACAAAAAACTAGCGTGCCTAAAAGCATGCAACATTCGCGTAGTGAAATAATGCTACTCTAATTTTCTAGTAAAACTCTTAGCTTTCCTATTTAAAAAGCTACTTTCGCGATACTTTTCTTATGCTCGCTTCAACTGTGCTAAATTTCTACCCAAAATTGTACCCAAATTCTTTGGCACACACTCGACAATCTCTCTTCTAAACAAATTTTATTAAATAAAGTGAAAAAATTATATAGCTTTATAATTTTACATTAATTTAACTTAGTAACACTTGTTTTTATATTCAATTTTGCTATTTTTTCTAATGAAATAGCATGTAAAGAAAAAGAAATTAATAAAAAATAACAAAGGAAATATGCGAAAAAAGAAAAGAAATAAAATGTAAGCTTAATTAAACTGAAAAAGTAGTCAATTATCACTTTTTGTCATTTTACACACACTAAATATAATTTAAATTAAGCCACAACTCTAAAATTCTTCTTCGCTGTGTGAAAAATAAAATTAATAAAATATGTATAATCATATATTACAAAATAGTTTTTATACTTACACCAAACATCCTCATGCAAGCCAAACACACACATGCATACATGCATAGTACATAAATGCTCGTACAACTTTTCTTTTACACTTTGTACAAGCCAATTCTCTAGCTACCTACTACTATATAGAACATACATACATAAATACATGCAAACATACAAACAAAGTAGTTATTCTAATACATATGTATGCAATATTTACCAAATTTTTTTTTAGCATGCAACTTTGTATGTAAATTTATGTTATGTAAAAAATTTTTATATAAGTTATTTACTTCTTTTATCATTTAAATTAAAACTTATGTATGTATGTATATCTAATCTTAATTTTATTCTAGTTATTCTTTTTTTCTTTGGTTTGTTTAATAAGCAACACAATGTATAAATGAAATTTTGTGAATAAAAATTATCAATTAATTTTACTTACTATAAGTACTATTCATTTGTATTTTTCATTTTTACTACACATATTTACTGTACATATGAAATGGACTTGCATATAAGTAATTTTACTTTATATTATTGAGAATTGCATTGGCTGGGGTGGAACAAATTTGTAAACATAACCACAAATGCGAATAATTTTCTCTTATTACTTCCTGGACTGGAGGTTAGTACTTTTTTAAGTTATGGGTTTTAGTAGCTGTTAAATTTACGAGTAAATATGAGGCGTGTTTTTTATTAGAAGCTCCACAAGGTGCGTTACACCCAATGAAAAGGGCGCTAGGAACTGACATTTCAGCAGCATTTGGCTAAACCTTTTGGGAAAAAAGGACGAAATCAAAGCTACCAGCAGCTACTCTGGCATAGAATCCGATTGGACTTGAGGAAAACACGAGATCGTAGTACATTAGTTAATTAACGCCTCTAAGAAATATGTATCTCGATTCCTTAGTGAGCCTGAAAGAAATGTTGGGGCATAGAAAAATTACCTAATTCATTAATACTACTGACCGCAAAAATATTCAGCTTCTCAGTCTGGAAATTACGGGGCAAGAAGAAATAAAGAACTTTTCATTGTCATTCCTCTCCAGACATATATCAATGGTGTTGTCGGATCTAGGTCCTACCGGGGTGACGCATACACCTCTTAGCACTCGAATGCTTAATTTTTCTAAAGGTAGCTTCTGGCATCGCTAGCAATGTTTCGGTCCAGAATAACGCATCTCAAAATAAATTTCTTTAAAAAGTAGACCATTATGCGTTCGATAACTATATGTATTATTATGACTATTGATATTTAATGTCAATATAGATAATGTTCTCGATAATTGTGTGTATCGATAAAAATATCTTTAAATAAATCCATACTGATTTCGATAATACCTTTAAATAAACCTAATATCGTTTAATAATTTGTGATAAATACCTTGGTATATCGATAGTTTAATCGATAAAAATGTGTTTCAATTATAGTTAGGATTAATGTTTTTTAGCACAATTTAGTCTATAGGCACAGAAAGAGCTTAGCTATTTATCTTAGGCTGAAGCTCCTCGGTAGGCTGCCAGTTTGCGACCCGAGCTCGAATCACGACATCCATGATCGATGAAACTCGATTCGGATCGAATGAAATAAAACGACAGCTATTATCTCTCCAATACAATTTAAATTGTAAAAGCGAACTCGCTATCGAATGCCGTAATCTTAAAAGGAAATTTCGAGTCGATTTGCCGTGAACCGTGTCCTGTTTTGTCAGAGCTTCATTTCTCAGAGGTGTTGACGAGAAATTGCAAATAGCACTGATGTTAATTTGATAACCAATGATTTGAAATTTTGGTAGGTGCCGGACTCGAGAGGCTTGCGGTGGTCAAAGCGCCTCTTGTTCCAATTTCAGAAGGTCTATTTGCGTACCGGTCCGCAGATGAGCAGACCAAGCTATAGGTGCATAACTCGTGGGGCTGCAGACTAATGGCTTCTCGTGCTTCAACCACTTGACTATGGTAGTCATATATATATACATAGTACATACCAACGGGTATTGTCCATCTGAGCCGTGGCGCTTGGATAGTGATAAGGACATAAGTGTAGAAATATTACAATACAATTTTTTTTTCACATTTTCTTTACATACATTTTTGTAAGTTTTCCGATATTTCATGAATTAGTTTTTATAAGAAAAATAATTTTATTTCATTTCTATTCATCCCTATAGTGCACCTAGTATTCTCTACACATGTGTACCTACGTAGATCAGTAAAATGATTTCTCTGCATCGAACTATCGCTCATTATATTCATGACTCCATAACTCAATTCATTGTATAAAATTCACATTCTTCCGAATATTTCTCTGCCATATAATCTAGCGCCACTTCCAGGCAATAATAACAACAACAATAACAACAATGTTGATGGCCAAACCAATAACACCGCAGTACCGCCACCAGTAGCATCATCAGTGCCAACAACAACAACACCAGCAGATACAGCAGCACCTTCAACCCGCAAGCCGATACAACCCATCTTTCCGCTGGGTGTAAAAAAGCATCGAGCACCTGCCCCACCGCCACAAGCTGGCGTAGCGGCAGCAACGGTATCTGTGATAAGACAATCGAGTTTCCTGTATGGCAGCGCAGGTGTAGGCGGCGCGTCCACTCAACAACAACAACAGGCACAACAATGGTAAAATAAGGAAAGCTATATCACCTACAAGCGCGAAACAGAATGAGGGATGATATGTAGTTAATTTAAGAATGTTTTTTGGCAAATGGTTAAAAATAGAGCGGCAAAAGAATTTAATCAATATTTAATACAATACTTTATACGTGCGTATATATCTATTTATGTACATACATACATATATTTAGATGTATGTATGTATGTAAAATTATGTTTGTAAATCTCTTTAAACTTTTACTCAATTCAACAAGTTCAAAGGTTCTAGAGTGTGTAAATATATTAAGGTAGGGCTGTAACGTACATACATGCGTACATACATATGTATGTATGTATGTATACACCCCGTGTCATAATTATAAGAGCACCACATATTGGCAAGTTTAAACCATTTCTTTTATTTAATTTTGGTTATTTTATTTACAAAAATATAGTTTATTCCTTAACAAATATCGCATAAATTCAAGTTTTAATCTTTGCGCAACATTAAAAAAAATTAGCCAACCATCGTAAAAATATCGAGCCGTTTAATTCGGCTCCTTACATTTCTTTTGTTTTTCAGTGTTTACTTTATTTTTACAAAATTCTAAGAAGTAGCTGGGTCGGTTATTTTGAAAGTGGCATAATTATTTTTTATTCCATAAGAAAATCAGGTTTTCAAAAAAAAATATCTAAACTCAGCGATATTTTGTAGCCACTTGAAACTTCATGCCACTAATGAACTCTCAAAAGGTATACCTAAAGTTTTTCTAAAAATTCTGAATGATAAGCTTGAAACGTTGGCGAAAATTTGTTGAATTTTTGTGCAAAGTTTTAAATGCGCATTTATATGCATTTTATTGTGTAATGATTTAGTTAATGTGGTCAAAACTATTCAAACTAAGGCGTTTCTATTATTTCTGTCACCAGTGTACATACGTTCGACGATTTTTTAATGTAGAAGAAAATGAGCAACATAGCAAAAAAATGTTCCAACTTGTCAACATGTGGAGCGCTTATAATTACGACACGGGGTGTATACCCGCGCATATGTATCTACATATTTCTGTACATAAATTTTTCTAGGGCACGTTATACATGACAGTTAAAGTCGTATATCGAGTTAGTAAAGGGTTAAAGAAAGAGTAGTCTTTCCCAAAGACTAAAAAAGAGGTTTTTCTAATAAATCGAGAGCTACACTAAATTTAGCTACTCCCAATTAAAATAACAAAAATAACTAAAAACAAAAACTCCATCAAAATCCAAAGCAAAGACTCTATTTTACACATAATGCCTTCATATTTGTATTGAAAAAAATATATAAATCAATTAAATAAACTACTTAGAAAATGTTTACTAAATTAAAATTGGTAACCCCATCTGTTAACACATAAAATTAGAAAATTAACATTTCAAATCGAAGTTAACCACATCTGTACATAAATTTTTGTAAAATGTTGGTGTTCAACTGTTTTTTTTTAACTCTCCTTAGCATTATCTAAAACTACGAATATCTGTCATAATAGAAATATATTTAAAAAAAAAAGTATTTAAATAGGAATTTACTTAGAGCATTATTTGTTTGTTTAGCGAAGTTTGAAAAAAGTATGAAAGTATACATATTAGGGTGGGTCAATTTTTTATACTATGCGGGAATGGCATAGAAGTATTCTACGTGGAATTCTAAGCAAATTTTCCGAAGAATCCTTGGGCCTAAAATTTCAAGGAAAAGTAGGGTATACATAAGTGGTTTTTCTTTTAAAACGTATGAAAATGTGAAAATTTTTTACTTTTTTTCCTCTGGCTAATGTTTTAAAATGGATTTCTAAAACAAAAAAACTTTTAAAGCATGTTTAAAAATAAAATTAAAAACTTATTTATGACACTACAGTAAATTAAACGCTACGAAGGAACAAAAATCTATTTTCGCAATTTGGCATGCTTGAAATTGATTTTAGATCAATGGTTTCTGCGGCAAATTTGCTTAGAAATTCACCTAGAACACTTATATGCCACACGCGTATAGTCAAAAATATCTCAAATTGATCCGCCCTAATATATATGTATGTATAAGATAATTGCATTAGCATTTAAACAACGTAGTAAATATTGGGAAAACAAATTACGAAAGCACATAGCTGAACTTAACGGTATTTTTGAATATAGACTGCAAGGGACTTGTTACCCAAATGTTAAAAATAACAAAACATTAATAGTTACATACGAATACTTAAAGAAAATAAATAAAACAAAAACATACGTAAATCCACGAAATTAAAGAAATGCATACATATAATATTCAAAATGTTATTAAAGACATTCGACTGTTCCATTACACAAAACAAAAAAAAAAAACAAATATAACTAACTGAGGGCATTCACAGCGAGCGCGTTAGCGAAATTTGAGCGCTCACATACTTTTAGTGCAATGAAAAAAAAACAGCATAAAAATTGAAATATTTAGTTGAAACCAAAAAATTGGTTTTTTATCCTGTTTTTTTATAGGTATATTTTTTATTAATCTTTACTTTTAATATTCAGCTAGCTGCTGTGTATGCCCTTATCCATAAAGATCTAGATACATACATGTTAAACTCTTCGGAAATAAATCACATAGTGCATTCTTTTCATAATCAGGATTTTAATTTAATTTTCTTGAACTAACAGGGCAATTCTGGCTAAGATATTTGAAGGTCTCTTGTAAGACGATTTAAGGACAGTAGGCAAGATAGTTTGAAATATTCTCTTTATTCTGGCACAAAAGTCTTCCAAAAAAAGCTCCCTTGCCAACTTTCATGGTGAAAAGCTCTTTTTTACAGAAAGCAATTTCATATTTTGCTCGCGCTCCTCCAACTTCCGGAATGGCCGAGTGAAAAATGCATTGGCGTGCCATTCGAGAGCTCCGAGGTCGAGTCCCCGGGCAGATGAATTTTTTTCTGTTTCAATTAAATTTTATTTCTTTTTTTAAATTTAATCTTCTTTTAATTAAAATATATAGCTGTTTTAAAAAGAAAAATATATGAATATTTTTTAGTCTTTAGAAAATTATTTTATTTCCTTATTTTTATGTATTTTTCCTTTTTTTATTTAATTTTTTGATTTTATTGTCTCAAATCTTTTTAACCTTTAATCTCATTTAATTATTAGAAACTTTAATTTTATTCTTCTTTTTTCATATTTTTTTTTGTTTAAATTTAATATTAAGGTTTTATTGTTTTGAGACAATTTTTTTTGATGTTTATGGCCTTTTAACAATTGTATTCAACTATTTTATTGAGCTAAAGGCCGTTTTTTTTTCAAATGAATAATGTTGTGAAAAGAAAAGTTTATATACTCTTTTGTTAAGTTTTTAGGAAATCTTAACTTTTTTTAATAAAAATTGTTTAGGTTGGTTTTAGTTCAGTTTTACACTTTTTAATTAAATTTTGCTTTCGTTTTGAAATAATTTAATTTTTAGAACATATTTTATTTTTTATTTAAATTTTCTTTTAATTATTAGATTATATTATACTGAAAAGAAAAATACAAGAATATTTTTTAATTTTTAGACAATTTAATTTTTTAATTTTTTCAATAAAATTTTTTATTTTTTTTAGTTAAAATTTTTTATTTTTTTTAAATTGCATTATTTTAAAGAGAAAAATATATATTTCTTTAATTTTATTTACTTTACAGGAATTTATTTTAGATTTTTTTCGTTTTTAGTTTTATTTGTTTTAATTTTCAATTAATTTTTTTTATAGTTTTAATTTTTATTCCTTTAAAAAGAATTTTTTAAATTTAATTTGTAGGAAATTTACTGCTAAAGGAAAAACAGAAAACCGCTAAGCCCCTCGTTAGCAGATCTTTCAGATAGTCTTTCGAAAAGACTGTGGTGAGCTGAAAGACAGTTGCCAGAATTTCCCTGTTATTTAGTTTCAATTTATGTATAATATTAACCGACTTCAAAAAAGGAGATTATCAGTTCGTCTGAGTATTTTTTTGTTTGTATTTATGTTACCGTTATGGTCCCATACTACTTTGGTTTAGATCCGACCATTGGATCATGAAGAAATCAACGATAATCTTTTGCTTAAAAATTACTTGTTTTATTTCACACTATTTGATTTTGTATTTGTATTCTTCTGAGCAATTTTTTACATCCGGTTTTACCAGCAGTTTAAATGGAAAATGATTTTTTATTATCTGCCAATTTCCATATAAAATTCAATAAAGTCAAATAATTTTTCACTTAAATTGCTTTCGTGAAATTGGCTGTTAATCTGTTTTACTTAATTTTTATAATGCATTTTATCGTGCATAATTTTCTTATACTTTTTGTTTTGATTATTATTATTTCATTATAGGTAATTTGTTTTTTTTTGCTGCACTTATTCCTATTTCTGTTTAGATTTAGTTTTATTTTACTACATATCGCACACCCTCTTCAAAAGAAGCACAACTCAAAAACCAGATCAGGACACATAACTGCTTTTCTAGTAAGAGAATATAATCATGAACAAAAATTATTTGCATTAATTGGAGACACATCCTACGAATTGATTTATACAAAAAAAAAATCTATCTAATTTTTTTTTGAGTTTGGCCTCTTGTGAAGATGGTGTGCGATATATTTAATTTTTGGTTTTTTATGTATGTATATGCATATTATTACCTGTACTACTTTTATACATTTTCTCGTTTTGTTGCGTACTAATCTTTTTATTATTTTATTGTTTTTTTTTCTATTTCCTATTTGGTTTTATTTTATTTTATTGATTTGTTAGTAAATAAATTACGCAACTTGTATGCAATTAATTTAAACAAAAATTGTTTATATGAGCGTATATGTATTGTATTAATTGTATGAACTCCAGACAAATAATAATCACTTGTTAGTGCATTTTTTAATATAAAGAGATTTATTCGAATTAAAAAAATGTTTAGTCATATGTTATATTTGTTTAAACAAAATAATCAAGAAATATAATTAAAATAATATATACTTAGATTTAAAATTTATTTAGTGGTGGTTCAAATTCAAAAAAGGTAATATTTTCAGGTCATTATTATTATTATTATGAGCCTTGAGCACTGCGACCTCTAGGGTGGTCTATTGTGCGTGACCTTTTACCCTATACGTGAAGGCTTTTAATATAAGCTAGCACTTCGGTGGACTTTTTGTGCCATTTTTTGAATGGATGAAGTGTTGTACCACCTAGGTGAGCGAGTCTGCGTCTAGCGAGAGCAACACATTCACATGTGTTCTGGCCCTTCTTCGTCAATCTCACAGAAGCGACAGACGCTCGAGTCTGAAAGATTCATTTTACTGAGNTTTTACCCTATACGTGAAGGCTTTTAATATAAGCTAGCACTTCGGTGGACTTTTTGTGCCATTTTTTGAATGGATGAAGTGTTGTACCACCTAGGTGAGCGAGTCTGCGTCTAGCGAGAGCAACACATTCACATGTGTTCTGGCCCTTCTTCGTCAATCTCACAGAAGCGACAGACGCTCGAGTCTGAAAGATTCATTTTACTGAGGTGATAACGCAGGGAACAATGCCCCGTGAAGTACCCAGTGATAGTTCGAAGGTTTATGGATAGGTAGATTTATGAGCTTTTTTGAAGCTTCTTGTGATGAACAGATGAACCGCTTAGCTTGTCTTTGCCCCGGACACTCATTCCACTGCCTATCGAATTTTTTGTCGACCCACTTGTTTATGACCTCCCTTAAGTGGGCTTTGGTGAGCCCGCAAAAGGGTTCCGGGCCATCGAATTGTTTGGTAGCTCCGTGTTTTGCTAGGCGGTCCGCCTGTTCATTGCCGTCATGGCCCTCGTGCCCCGGCACCCAGCCCAGTCCTAGCAAGGCAGCCTGACTGTCCGACATAATGCAGATGTTTTTAGAGGATGTTCCTCTTCTGAGGCATTCTCTGCCACAGATGTCGATCGCATGAATCTCTGCTTGGAAAATAGTGGGGTAGCTGCCCATTGGCATCGATCTTTTAAAATTCGACCCAAATATACCAGCTCCAGTTTTTCCATCTTCAACTTTCGATCCGTCAGTGTACCAAACTTCAGCTCCGGGTTTGGTGTAGGGGTTTCCTGTGCTCCAGGATGCTCGGTCCGCAATAGATACCTTGAAATTCCTAGAAATTACTAGTATCGGAGCTACTGAGTCCCTCATATGCATTATGGGGTCATTTGTGAATTTCATAAGGACCTTCATATGACCNGGTTTTTAACTCGGAAGTATTTAGGATTCTCAGTGCCGAGAGACTGGCCTCCCTCTCTATTAGAATTGGGAAGGGCGGTATGCCTACCAGATAACAGCATGAGTTTACTCACTTCCATCAAAACAGTATGAACTCATTGCTGTGAACTCTATAAGGTTAGTGAGAAACACCGTACAAACAGTGAGATTCATAGTTAGTTTTGAAATCAATGTTTAGCTGCAGTGTACTCATTTGATTTCAAATATGGCATTGATATACTCTTTCCAAATCAAGTCAAGCGAGTGAAAAATGCTGTTATGAAAAGCAAGTCGAGCAATCGAATGACACTCATTGACTTCAAACAATTAGTAGAGAATACGACAATTTTGAAAAAAAAAGATATTGATGAAGTATTTTTTTAAATATATTAGTTTTACTAAATTATTTAGTTATGCACCTGACGTACATTTATATAACTAGTCTACAAAATGCAATGTTACCTCAGAAGACATCGGCTTTATAAGGGACTTGAAAAATAAGTTGCTTTATTATTTAAAAACAGTTGCTGTTGAACAGATTTACAAAAAATTGTGCTTCTTTTTATACCCGCCAGCAAAAGAGCTCAAGAACTTTACTGAATCTGAGCAAAGGTACACAAAAGAGAAATGTTTACAAATTATGAGAACGTTAACTGAGAATTCTGACAGTACAACGGAACCACAAATTGCGGATACACCTTTGTTACCTTCAGACAACTTTGAGCTGTTTTCAGGCCTTCTTAAACAACCTACCTTTGTGAGCAGAACTGATAAAGCTACTGCAGAGCTGCGGCGATATAAAAATATTGAGGTATTTTTTCATACGGACTTCGATATAATTAATTGGTGGGAGGTACACAAATGCGAAATGCCGCTGCTGCATAAACTCAGTCGTAGAGTAACAGCCACTCCTTCAACTAGCGCATCGTCAGAAAGAGTTTTTTCTTCTGCTGGAAATGTTATTTCTGACAAAAGATGCCACCTTTTGTCAAATGATGATGCCCTTAATCAGTTGATATTTTTGCATTATAATATGCAGTTAGGAAACCAATAAAATTAACAAAAATTGTCTTTACAAATGTTTTTTCTTTGATGCTTTCATTACAGCAGTTATGCCATGCACTTGTTTTTCAAATCAAGCACTTGTTATTTGAATCGAGCACTTGATAGTGTGAATCATGATAAAAACATAGCAAGGTACAACCGTTTTCTCAATTTGTCGGCCATGATTTTTTTTTTGAAGTTTGCCAACATTTTAAAATTATATGAAAGTGAAAATAAAAAATTGAAATTGTTCGAAATTGTTGTTGCTTGAGATTGAAAATGAAAATGTGTGTGTGAGTTTGTGAGTAAATTTAAAAATTAAATTGTTTGGAAACGTCAAGAATTTNATGTGTGTGTGAGTTTGTGAGTGAATTTAAAAATTAAATTGTTTGGAAACGTCAAGAATTTAAAAAAAGACTCTCAGCGGTTCTACCTTACTATATTTTTATCATGGTGTGAATTACTCACTCAACCGACAATGTTTTGTCAATGCTATCACACGTTATGTTTGGAAATAAATGAGTGCGAGTGTGTGCAGATGTGCAAAGAAAGCGAGTGACTTAAAATGTAATTTGAGTGTATCCATGCAGTTCTCTGATGCCTACAAGAGCACTAAGTGCATCAGCAGGACAGGTCCGCATAGCCCCTGTTATACCAATGCACACCATTCGGTGCAGTTTGCCAAGTTTTGCGCTAGCAGTTCTTTGTGTCGCTTTTGTCCA